TCTATCTATGCCCTCCTATCCCATTTCCCCAGAGGACAGGATTTTGCTCAGTGATTCTGACTCGTTCATGATTCCTTTGACGTGCAAGTCCATTGCCTAAACTCTAGCGGACAAAAAATTGTCTCCACATCCAAAACATATTGACTTGTTAGAGAAAAACAGAACTATTCTGTGCAGCCTTATAATGGCCTTCTAGTGACAGAGCAGTTGGGCTTTGCTCTCTAGGTTTGCAATGTCTTCTTTTTGAGGTTATTACATTTTTTAGCTGAGTGTTCTATTTAGGCTCTTACTAAATGCCTGGCACCTTTTCTTGCTTTCAGCAACTGAAGGAATTAGATCAGCTTTTCTAATGCCATATCTGTTTGCTTGTTTGTTTGTTGATCACTTCCTTTTCCTGTTATGTGTATTCCATGAGGTCATTCCAGATATAGCTAAATGGGTCATTATGCCATATGTTTATTTACTATGTGTGTGTTAGACCTTTTGTGTGCTATTTTTTACTTGTTATCCATCATATGTATTTATCTTCCTGTAACATATGGAGCAGTGGGATGGGATATATATATATGGAGTCAACAGATGGTGAGATTCTGTGTGATTAATGTGCTCTCATAATTTTATTGTCTCTCTTTTTAAATGTTCTATTTGTAAAGTGCCATTACTCTTCTCAGACCAATTCTCTGTACGCTGTTAAACAAAATTAAAAAGACCAGTGTCTGGTTTTGCTGTTTCTCTTGCCAGGTGTGATTATCTAGGCTGACCACCTGCATAACACAGGCCACAGAATTTCACTCAATGATTTCTACAATGGAAGGAACTGTTCTTCCTAACTCCATAAGTGAACACTTTAGTATTTTGCTGTCCGATTTCGGGTTGGAGTCACTGTGAAACCATTACAAATATTTTAGAAAATGAAACAATAACTCTTAGTATTACATTATAACAATTGCAGAAGAAAGGGTGTTAGTAGTTATGGAACTAGCTTGACACCAGTGTGGGAGTTGCCAATAAAGACAAGCAGTTATACATGTTTTCACATGTCCTCAGCCCAGCATTTAGCCAATCAAAACTCAATGGAGAATGGTTTCAGAGTGGTAGCCATGTTAGTCTGTATCAGCAAAAACAATGAGGAGTCCTTGTGGCACTTCAGAGACTAACAAATTTATTTCATGGGAGAATGGAGACGGATATTATATACAGAGAGCCGCAGATGATGGAAACTCCCATTAGGCTCAGTTGAATGACAAACAACAAAAGACCAGAAGGACATGGCTTGCTGTCAGGGCTAGGTCTCCAAACCTGTAACATTCTGGCTAGAGGTGAGTGTTATGCCAGCATTTATCTATTAGGGAAGGCCCCATAAAAATAATGTAGTATCCGCTATGGAGTATTTTATGGACTTAGAGCAGTGATACTCAGACTGAGGCTTGCAAACCACCAGTGGCTCTTTAATGTGTCTCCTGCGGCTCTTTGCAGCACATGATATTAAAACACTGTGATTTAATTATTAACCAATCTACGTTATTAACCAGTCGGGAGGCTTTTACTGTTTTATTAACCAATTGCAGTTGATAAAATAATAATACTTGGTCAGTCATTTTTCTGTGAGAATAATTATATACATATAGTAAATGAAATAATGACGTCACACTACTGTGGCTCTTTTGGGTAATGCTGATCACTAATTTGGCTCCTGAACCACGGAGATCTGCGCATCACTGACTTAGAGGATGCTCTGTGATGAGGGCCTAATGACTAGTGAGTATATGGAAGTTATAGTTAGCTATCAGCTAGTTGCTCGTATTGGGATTCTGTCTCAGTTCATGAGAAAAAGAAAAGAAGTGGTGCTCATTGATACGAGGGTTTGTAACTCCCTTGTTTGATTCAGCTGGCTTGTGGCAGAAGGGCAGTGCCCTATAGAATGAGAGGATTGTGTTCTGTGCTGATAACCCAAAAATATTAACATTTGCTCTGAAGGCAAGATTCCTTCAAATCAGACAAACTAAGGAGAAGGGGTCATTAATTTACACAGTGCTAGTAAAAGGATTCCCAGATCAGAGTTTTCTGGTTTCTAGAAAATCAGAAGTATCTGGCTGTGGTTTCAATGGGACCTAAATACCTTAATCTGGTCCCATGTGCAATATTTCTCTTTGATAGTGACTTGTAGCCATTCATTAGACCTACATTCAGTATTTAAATGCAATGCCCTGAGTTTCAGTCTGTAATGTATTCTGAAAAGCTAGAACTCTGGCCTGTGCTCCAGCAAAGAGTAAAATTGAAGTGAAGGAAAAGAAGTGGAATAGCAATTGTACATAATTTACTCTGATATCCTCATTGTTTTCATGGCTGATGATTGTGTATTGACCACATTGTTCTATTTAAGCAAGCAATTTTGTCACATACAAACTGCACACTCCATAATTCTAGAACTGCAACATAAACATCATTTCCCAAGAAGAATAGCTTCGGCTGTTAAGTTATATAATGGCAAGTATTAAGAATGCAAATTTTACAAAATGTAAGAAATATAAGCTTAAAGATAAAATGCTTCTCCTGTATATTGCCTATCAGTCTGCCTACTGTGCCAGTGCAAAGGGAATGCCAATGAAACAGATACAGTTTTAGACATGATTCATTTAAAGGTAGAGGTAAGATCAAAGAAAACAGATGTTTTCTTCCCTCTAGACACAAATCTTGACTCTGCACTATCTGCACTATCTGAGAAAGGGGGACGTACACTACTTTTTATATGTTAATGAGGGATCCTTCCTATGCTTCGATTGGACACCAACCGGTTCTTTCTCTCTGGCTCGCTCACTAACCCGCTACGTTTTTCCTGTTCTTTGGCCTTTACTATTCTTTGCTATCCCACAGACTTGTAACCACAATTAAATTCATATTTCTATACAAATCGTTTGATGATTTCTCCAACAATATCTGGTCCTTTGGCTTTTTTTCCACCCAGCATTTTCCAAATTCTGTTTCCTGTCCACAAAAGTTATTTCTCTAATCTTCTCCTTCCCTTGTGCAATGGTTTGCAAGGAACCAACATTCCCTCATGAACCACTCATTTGTCGCCTCTTGACAGTGGACAAGGAAGCATTCCTAAAGGAGTATGTTCTGCCATCATATTCACACGGTGGATCTCAACTCTGATCAATCCACAGTACAGATATAAGAGGCTGAGTCCCGGCACCTTCAGGCTTGGCAGTTCATAGCCCTGGCATCTCTGGGCTTGCTGCAGCAGTTATGAATATAAAATAATTGCTTGTGCTGGCACCTAATTGCTCGAGCCCCAGCACCTCTTTCATTGCAAATTAAGCACTGGGAGAAGGTTACCTGTACGTAGGACCAGCAGAGACAAATTATGATTTATGCAGGCTGGGTAGAATTCTATTCTCTGTTACATAGGTGCAACTTGCATGGAAGAGGTAGGGAGGAGCTTCTCTAAAGAACACATGGCCTACAGAAAGGAATACAGTACTCAGAACCATGGAGTGCAGAGTGCTGTTCCTAGGTCTGTCGCTGCCTAGCCTTTATTTCACCAGCCCCTCTCCTGTTTCCATTTCAGAGTCAAAATGGGCCATGTTCTAATACCCTGCCAACATTGAGCAGTGCCTTACTTTGCCAGTGGTCCCACTGATTTTAATGGGAGTACGTTTGGAATAAGGTACTGTTCATCATGAGTAAGCATGCCAGACTCAGGCCCATGCTAGGAGATTAACTGAGGTACACCACAAAGTTGATAAGCAATGGCAATGTAAAGATGCTTAAAGCTAAAATTACAGCTGGCATAGTAAAAGATGCTTTCAATGCTAGATGAACAGATAAAGATTCTCTCAATAAAACCTCCTGCTTTAGCTGGGGAAGAAAGGACTTGAGTTACATATTACGACATTTTTCTTTTGCATTCCATAGAACTTAGAATACAGTGCCTAGCACATTTCAGGCACTACTGCAGTACACATATATAAAGATAATAAAATAGAGCGGTTCCTGGTTTTATATATTTTTCTGCAATGCTTATTATCTACAAAGATAGATAGATCTGTGTCCAATTCAAGATGGTTACAACATGCACACAAAAGAGCTGAGAAACACTTGTGTTTCTAAATAGCTTACCTCTTCAAAAAGAACAATGTTTATTGAGATAAACAAAGGAAGGGTGGTTGTTTTTAGATCACTATGGCTAGGGTGACCAGATAGCAAGTGTGAAAAATCGGGACAGAGGGTGGGGGGGTAATAGGAGCCTATATAAGAAAAAGACCCAAAAATCGGGACTGTCCCTATAAAATTGGGACATCTGGTCACGCTAACTATGACTAATGTCAGGAAACAGCTGGTAAGTAATATTAGGTAATCACATACACAGGCTGCAAACTGGGAACATTATGCCTAACATACCTGCTATACTTTTATTCCCCCTCCCCATTCGTTTATTCAAAGCTGCCGCTGGGATACTGGCTTCTGTACATCAGAAACCGTTAAGAAAAGCAGCATGAATCATCATCTTTTGCTTATAGTAAAAATAACTAAGTTAAGTTATTTTAACTTAGTCACTCAAGTGCAGTTCTCCTAGGACAGTAACAATACAAGGAAAATGTGTTGTGGGTTGGTTTTTTCCCCTGAGATTTGGGATGTATATGGACTCTTTAGAATTCCTTTCATTTCAGCTCATACCAAATGAAAAGCAGTCAGTTCAGTGATAATATTTCTTCTAAGTTTAATCTATCCATTTCTTGAACATTTCCGATTCGTCTGTCTTTTAATAGTTTATGCAGAATATAAGTAGGAATTCAATTTTTATTTTTTGATGACTAATGTTTTAGATCACTATCACTACTAATCAAGTAGTTGTGGCCGAGTGGTTAAGGTGATGGACTAGAAATCCATTGGGGTCTCCCCACGCAGGTTCGAATCCTGCTAACTACGGAAGCACTGATGTGTTGCCCTTGCTGCTGTCTTAGTGCCCGGGACAGATCTGGTCTCACGGTTGGTGAGCCTGGCTAGCTCAGTTGATAAAGCATCAGACTTTTAATCTGAGCGTCGAGCGTCCAGGGTTCAGGTCCCTGGTCAGGTGTTGAACTATTCCCCAAGATCATAAAAGTCTATCCCTTTGGGGGAGGGATAGCTCAGTGGTTTGAGCATTGACCTGCTAAACCTAGGGTTGTGAGTTCAATCCTTGAGAGGGCCACTTAGGGATCTGGGACAAAAATTGGGGATTGGGCCTGCTTTGAGCCGAGGGTTGGACTAGATGACCTCCTGATGTCCCTTCCAACCCTGATATTCTATGATAATATTGATGTTTATTTTTAAGCATGTTTTTTTTTCTATTTAAATTTTCCTAGTTGCAGAAAACATGGGGGGGGAATCATCAGAAAATGGGGAGTCAGACCACAAGTATTTACTGACAGTAGACACAGATTCAAACAGTTAAAGCTTTATAGCCACTATAACATAAATTGTGAACATCACATGTCAAAACACAAAGTAAATATCCTTAAATCACACTCTTAGAAGTTCCCAACAGCATTTTTCTTATTTTGCAGATCTGTACATTTTTATCATCCATCGGAATATTTTTTTTGTCCATTTGCGTGTGTACGGTGAGATCGGCATTTATTGACGTTTAACGATAAAAATCAAATCTTCCCAAATGTAAGTACAAGTTATTTCACCGGACCCTGTGACTTTTGTAGGCTACAGGTGGCATCTCAAGCTACTGAAATCTTGACTACAGTATTCGTGATCATACTGAAAATACAGGCTTTTTCAGAACTAAAGGAGGAGGCAACTTTCATTGTCGTTGTTTATTTGTTGAAGGAAATTGGGATTTTGAAAAGCCCTTACGTGACTTAGGAGCACAAGTCTGATTGAAAGTCAATGTGAGCTGTGCTTGTTAAGTCACTTAAGTCCTTTTGAAAATCCCACCAATATCTCAAACCTAATTTAGGGTTTCCAGCAGTGCTTTCCTGTGGGCTTGGTGTAAACTGGCGAGAAGGCTTGTGCGTCTCAGGATAATGCTTCCTTGGTCCTAAGAACAGATATGCTGGGAATGGCAGAGTGTAAAGAAGTTCACTCAGCACAGGAGCGCCTGCTCATGGTCAAGTCTGGGAATTAGCATTTGCCTCAGCGGCCACCCCTTTCCGTCAGTTGCTCCATCACTGTGGTTGTCTCTCTTCCTGCAACTTGGCCACCCATCCAGGTCACAATTTAATCCACCACTTCTGGGGTAAGAGAGAGTCCAACCCGGCCATAGTCCAGTGACCTTACAGCACGTCTTCCATCTGTCTTTAGGCTCCCTGTCTGGGCTCCTTACACCCCACTTTCCTCAGTAACTGGTAGGGAAACCCAGGCCCATCCTGTACTCTGGGCTCCAGTCCAGGGACCGGGTAGGTGGCAGCAAAGGGCTACTCCCTCAGACTCCTTGCTGCCTCCCTAGACCACTTCCTATATCTCGTAGTCCCCCAGCAGTGACTGCAGACTCTCTCCCTGCAGCCCTTTTCTACTGCAAACTCCCTGGCTTTACAATCACCACCCAGCCCCTCCCCAGCTGGCCTTCATTATCAATTATGCCTGGCTTGCTCTCGCTCTCTCTCACAAGTGCTGCCAGACATATTAATTGACCTCTCAGGCCCACATGAATCCCTTTGGGGCCTGAGTCACCCCATCAAATAGAGAGAGAGTCTGACTCCCTCCATCCTGACCACAGACAGTGCTCTTGCTGCTTCAGCATTCACTCTCTTGAGAATAAATTCTGCCAAATTTACTTCACATTATGCCAAATTATTTCCACTGGCTCTGAGATTAAACACTGTCACTTTGCCATCATCCATCATTTGTTAGCTGACATAAGGTTATCATTTCTCTTTCCACAGAAAAGTTAAGACTGCTCTCAAATATAAGTCCCAGTCACAGCCCTGGACAAGCTTACCAGGCTGCTGTGTTTGTCCCCACATGATGGAGCTGTGTGATTTTAAGCTCCCCTGGTTCTGGGTAGGCTCCAGTCACTGGGCACAGAGTATCTGGTACCCCTTCTCTGAAGTGGGAAATCACATTCCAGCTATCCTAGCCCCAAGACCAGGGTTGAACTCCACAAGACAGCCCAGGCGCTTAAGCTCACCCTTTCCAGAGCTCCACTCTCATGGGTATTCTGCTTTCTACTTTAACCCTTCAGGGACAGTTGATAGCAAGACCTTGCAGACAGATTTCTAAACCAAACACTCTTCACTTTTAAACAGTATAATGGATACACAAATCCATGCAAAATAAGAAACCCTATATGCAATTCCTTACCTCAGTTTCCTCAGCACTCAAATGTTCTTTGGGATTTGGTTAGTGTTCTTTCAGAGTCCCGATTCTACAGTCCCCTCTCTTGGACCTAACTCCTCCACCTTGGAGTCTCCTCTCACTCCTGCCCCAAGCTCCCTTTTTGTTTCCTCTAGTTCAGAAAGCATGCCCCCTCTTTCCTTTGCCATCTCTATATTTTTAAAAGCCAGCACTAACACTGTGGTTCTTTGTACCTTCTCCTGGTGTTTTGTTTGTTTTTTCCATTCTCTTCTCCTCTGCAGACAAGCTGGAGAGAGCTGGTTTTACCTAAGTTGCAACAACGGCATTGTTCTGATAGGACAAGGCTTATTCAGCTGTTGATTGTCGTTGACAACCATCCCATTCAGAGAGAGACCCCCAGGCGCCAGTCCCCCTTGCCTTGCCACAAGTAGTATGATGCAAAAATACAGTAAAGACAACTGTAAGGCATAAGCATACTGAGAGTTCATAACATCAAAAAGAATTCATAAGCTGTACATAGAGGGGTCCCCCAAACCATCACTGCCCCCAAGATAAAAATCTGCACAAACCCTATGCAGGCACCTACTCAGGGGGAAAGGGATTTTCAAAGAGAGGGCTGGGCCTGGCCAGACTCAGGATGCAGAATGGATATAGGCAAATAACACAGCCATTGGCACAGGCACCTTCATCCTATTTTCAAAACTGTAAGACGGCCACACAAGCTAATTTAGGTAGTTGTCATACAGGGTGGCGTTTGCCAGGAGGCACAGGAGGAGATTGTCTCCATTTGAACATCTATTACACATCAAAAGAAGTAGAAGCAGCTGGTGAGAGCACAGGAGGACAATGAACAAGCATTAAGACTGAGTTTGTGCCATCAGACCATGTAGAAGTTCTGTGCTGTGGCAGAGTTCCCATCTGTCAGCACAACCCACATCTCCCAGAGGGTACCTGCACTGCATAAGGTGGCCTGCAAACCATCAGAAAACCTGTTTGTTCCTGGCTGTCTGGAGTACCAAGAGGATTTCGCTGCTGTGATGGCCCAGTACCAGGGGCCTGGTGCAACTCCTTCATCCGAGAGCACTCACGACTCCCAAGACTGAGATGAGAGCAAAATCCAGGCCAGCCTGCTGCTGGGTGAATGATGTCAAAGCACCATTTGCACCTAAACTCATATGCATTTGTACAGTCCCTCAGCATCTTGCCAGAGTAAATCCTCTCATTTACAGGACACAGAGGCTTCTCCTGCCCCCTGGACTCTTCCAGTCCATTCCCAGATCCCTGCAGAGAACTGCAACAGGGCCTAAAGAATCACCGGCTCTATCAGCGGGAGAGCCTTTGACATCCTTGAGACACAGATCAGGGGCCTCCACCAGGCTAATGGGACACCAGTACGTAGATCAGTGAGGCATCACTATTCCTAGGAGTCGATGATGTCACTCTCACAGAAGTCTGTGACATTCCCCCCTACCCCACCCCCATTTTTTCCAAATTCAGAACATTGACATTCCAAAAATTGTGAGCAATTCTATAGTTGTTTGGAAAAAATGTCAGAGCAGGGGATGGATGAGATGGGAATTTCACCTCAGTGACAGGGAGGTTGTCATGGAAATAGGGGCAGGGCAGAACATCTAGTTTCTGCAAGCGATTATCATTGATCGTATCTTACACTAAGCTTATGTAATCAAGATGGTAAAATACTCGCCAATTTACTTTTCTGTCTCGGTCATGACATCAGCAGGCAGCATCTCTTTCAAAAGTTCCAGAGTGATCTTCTCTGGACATGTACAGAGCATATAGTCCAAGAGTCAACAGCATGAGCATGGCTCAGGATTCAAATCAGGGGTTTTTGTCTGTATGTTTCCATTCAGTGTATGGCTCCCACTATCTGACTGGAAAGAGAAGCTGCGTAAGGCCTTGCCTTACCCTAATCCCCATTCTCTCCCACCTTCCCCAACTCCAGAAATCTCACTAAAAGGTGGGAGAACACCAGGGCTACCGATGGTGGGGGAACCAAAAGGGGCAGCAACATTAAAGCGCTGCCTTGGCAGTGCTTTAAAGTCAGCTGTACGGGTCAGTGCCGGTGGCCACTTTTTACCGATATGCTGTACCGGCCCATACTGCCTTACTTTCACCCCTGGAGAACACTATAGTTAATACGTTTACTGTGTCCAGAGATGGCCAGTGTGAAATCAGGAACGAGTGTCTTTTTCATAGGAAACCAAAAGAAGCTGGTGAAAAAGATACACTGCGGGCACAATGGCAAATTTCTTCTTTCCCTGTCCTTCATTCCCCCCCCCCCGCCCCACGCACGACTAAACTGTCTTTAATATTCCCAGATTTCTTCCATCTGTGGCCCAATGATGAGATTTATATTGTGTCCCCATTTCAATGTTCCTTGCATGTAGCTTGCAAAAGAGGTGACTCTCTGAGACTCATATACCATGACTGCTATGGGGGAAGGACGGGAGGCAAGAGTGGGCAGTGCAACTGAATGGCACACAAATCTCTTTTCGAAACTCCGGCAATATCAACAGACACAAAAACTGTCTACACATCCACAAAGAGCTGTATGTTCTCTTTTCTAGCATAATTTTCAGCCAGCCTGTGTGCATCTAGGTCTTGGAAAATACACACGGATGAGTCAGCATGTGGCTACAGGTTGAACTATGTGCAAGCAGGGATCTCTGAATAGAATCATAGAATATCAGGGTTGTAAGGGACCCCTGAAGGTCATCTAGTCCAACCCCCTGCCCGAAGCAGGACCAATTCCCAGTTAAATCATCCCAG